TGTTTTCCTTTTCACCAGAAGTACTTATTTCTATCTCAGCAACCTTCTCCTCTCTCATACAGTACATTATTTAATTTCCATTAACAGGCACTCTGTGTGCCCATTTAATCAAGAGAATGAAATAACAGTACTTTTGATTCAAATTGTGATACAGTATAAAAATAAATACAGATGTTTCTGATATTCAGGCTCCCTTCAGGTGGACAATTGACAGTTTAGGCAAATGTTTTCTTGCACTGTTAATAATTTTCTACTAAGAGTATCATAATACATCTATTTACAGAACCAAATTGTATTGACTGCAGGGAGCACAGTGCTCTTTTTCTAAAGTCAATCTGAAGATTGTTATTTAAAGCAGAATCAAAGGCTTATGAAGAAGATATGGACTTAGCTCCCATGAGGTGATAAGGGAAATTGCATTGAGACAACAGAACAGAAGGTTAGCTTACTGCACTCTGCAGTGGAGAGATATAAGAAGCAAAAGGGAACAGTAGTAAATCACAGGGTGATGTCGTCATGAATGAACAGAAGGAGAGTAGTGTTATGTCTTACACATGCACTGTAAGCATCCGTGGTACAATAGAGTGATCTAGCTGCTGAAGATAGGCTCTAAACAGAAAAAACGTGGGGAGGTGAGATGCCTTTTTAACTACGGTTAGGACAGCATTAACTCCATGAGAAACCTCCTTAATAAGTGTTCTCCTGAAAGCATGGAACATATCTCTTTACACCCCCTTCCAAATAATCACAGCAGCTCAAGTGTATTCAATAAGTTGACTGTTCCACACACAGGTAGTTTTTAAATAGATATTTCAATTAAAAAAGAAAAAAAAAAAAAAGGAAAACAAAAGAATGTGGAGGCATGAGGAGAATGGAAATTTCCTTATTCATAACTATTTCAAAGCCAGTAGAGCACCATGATCTGATGGCAACTGGGGAAAAGAGTGACTTCACTTCCAAGACACTGGGACTACAATACCTTGAAGTTGCTTGGAGCAACTAAAGGATGGGCTGGAAGTGTGCTGCAAGCTAAGCCTTAAGCTGGGTCCTACAGCACATACACCCAGCTAGCTTTGGCAGCAAGCTCACCAGAAAGCTGAGTTTGAAAACCACTCTATCACTCTAATGCATTCTGTCCAAAGAAAAAATATTCAAGGATGTGGCAAGTTTTCCTGCTCTTCAAAAGGCAATGTGTCAGAGGTATAAGGGCACAGTATTGTAATCCCACATGAAAACATTCCCACTGCAGAGAAACAGGGGAAAATGTGCCTGCATTTTGGTACCAGCAGTAAATGATACTCTCTTGATACAGTTATCTGTCCCAGTACTGCAGCATTACTTCTCAAATTTTCTGTATAATCCATAGAGTGACTGAGCATTTCCCAGTTATGTGCTGCACTAAGTAACCCAAGTGCATTATCAATAAGATGATTCTGTTCCAACCATACCATTTTCTGACTGACAAATTGTGTTTCTTTATCATGAGAGCATAATTATGTTTGGAAAGGGTATTTGTGCATAATCGTTGTGTCATATTTATCATAATGGGTAGAAAGCTAACAGAATAACTTTTTCATAGAATCAGAAGATTACAATGGAGTGCTGAGTCTTTTTGTAGTGATAAATGGTGCTGACTCTATGACTGCCCTTGTTTAGTCCCTGGTGGTATCTCTTCACAATAACATTTCTACTTACATTATGCCCTTTACTTTTGCTTTCATCTGCTCAGCATTTTGGCTGCCAGATTTTACAAAAACAAAGAGAATTGTATCATTTCTTCCCAAGAATCCTTTTATTTGTATCTCTGAGCCTGAAATGTGATATTTGCATGTGTGGTAGTAGCAAAGTGTTCAAATCAACTGATACTCTATAGCAGTATCAGATCAAGGCCTGTTCTCAATCGCTAATAAGAATTCAGCAGTCATTTATCTACACAAATGTACACATATATTTGCTTTTTCAAGGAACTCAGATTGATTCATAAAAAAAAAAAAAAAGTGAGATAAGGAGGAAAGCTAAGTAGTATAATTCATTGCACATGTTGTGGGTGCCAAGTGTTTATAAGGACTTCTAGAAGAATTACATCAATTTATGCAAGGAAAAATCATGTGGGCTGTCACATTTATGGTACCATTTCTGGTGCAGGAAATTATTGACCTGCAGATTGTTGGAAGCTGATGGAAGTTGGGAGACACTATGCCTGTTCTGCTCAGTCAGTTCCTTGTGATGGCCATAGACAGAGAGATGGGAGGACTCAGTGAGTCCTCTTGCCCTGTTCACCCAGGATCAGGTTTTAAGCTCAGGCTCTGGCTCTTAGGGCCCCAATCAACCTATACTGCAGCTGCATGTCAGCTGTGCCCATGCCTGGCTGTGGACCCTGCTAATGGACATATCTGAAACCATGCTGGGATAATGAAGAAGTGCACAACAGCAATCAACAGATCGTCCATCAGTATATGCAGAGTTCAGATTAAGAACAGTTAACAACACTGCGTACTTTGCAGTTGGAATCTGTTCATCACATTTGCTTGATGAGAAAGAAAATCTGTGTCCAGTTTTCTCTTCTTGACTTCCCTCTTTGAGAATTTAGTGGATAAGGTTAAAAGGTATAAGGTTAACAACCCTGTCAAGTGATCATTTCTGTTCACAAAAACATAATTCAAGTTTCATCAGCCTTTCCTATCAATAAGTCTCAGTGCTGGGAAAAGGATTGTTTCTCTGTTACCTTCTGCCTGTGCAAGAATTGAACCACATGAAGTCTCAGAATGAGAAAGTACAAACAGCAAATGAATGAGGCAAACTGAACCCCTCAGAGAAGATCTTATGTTAATAAAACTTTTAAGCAGTTAATATTGCATCTGCTCCATAATTTGGTTCACCATAATTTTTGTTTTAATAAAAAACATTATTCATTTCTTCAATATGCTGAAACACCCTCTCTATAATTACAAAGCTTTTTTTCTATTCCACTTGCAAATTTGGAATATCTTTTCTGCCTCCTCATATTTGCACCTTCCTGGGCTTAACCTCAGAATCATTCTTTCTGGCCAATGAAATGTTATTTCAGCTCTTTTCTTTCCTTAAAAAGAAAGTTCAGTTTTTGTAGTCATCATATTTGATTCATTTGTATTTTTGTTAATTCAATTCATATTTTCTGTTGTGCTTATATCCTCCCCCTATATTTTGGGTCAGAAGCATTATAAATAAATAATCATTATTTCTCTGTCTGCCAGGATAACTGCTTATAATAGCCTGGTTTCTAATTCCTTAGAGTTGATTAAAGACTTATGCCCTGCAGCATACACTATTGTATCCCAGCTCGTACCATTTCTCATGAATGTCCCCATTATATGCTTATGTGTCCAATCTTTTTGTGAATCTGATTAGCATTTGACCTCTTAGATGACCTGTGGCAAAAAATTCCACATTTTAATTACTTCCTATTTTATTCAAAAGAAAACGTAAAAAATTACTTCTTTCCTGTCTTTCAGATATCCTGTGACTTGGTTTTTCCCCTGCATGGAGTAAAAGCAAATTAGGCTCACCCTTTCTTTGCTGTACCTGTTTTGTACTGTCTTTTATTTCCTTCTGTGTCTCTCTTCTGACTACTCTAAACAGTTCACAACTTTTCAAGTAAGAACTTCATACAAAAGCTTTTGTATTCGTGAACATTGTCTGTCTCATATTTTTTGTGTTTCTGCAGCTCTTTTTTGTAAGATGATGATACATCTGGCTATGGGCACTCCTGGTTAGACACATCCTCAGGTTCTGAAATAAAAAATAAGACTGCAAATACTGCTCTGTCTCATTCTCTAGGCACACTTTTTTGATCATCCATTCATAATGTGTGCAATCTTCTCTGCTTGATGTCTTTAAAGTGGCTGCATATCATCTGCACTAGAGATCCAGGCTATCCAAAACTGACAGATAATTCAATCCTAAAATATTTCTTAGGGCATGTAAAAAGCAGAAAGAACAGATTGACATACAGCTGCTAGGAAGAGTGTCCTTTGATATATAAGCAGAGAAAGCCTAAACCAAGAATAATTTTCCAGAATCCATTTTCTGAGTGTCTTTTTACTTTCAAATATCATTCAAGTCAGACATTTGCCAATTTACAACATGAAAATTCAGAAGCCTGTTGGCCAAGCTTTTATTCTAAACTCCAAACTATTGTGCTGGTTCTTCCTTTTGCTATATGTAGGTTTCCAACACATTCTTCTTTTTGTCTGATCAGTACAGAAACAAACCAGCCTTGGACCTAGGCCTTTAGAAGTTGAGCTTCTTGTGAAGTAGGGTACATTTTTTTCAGTAGATGCTAAGCAGATGAACTGTTAATTGCACCTGGAATTCCAGGTGCTCAGTACTTCTTGGTCCTTACTCTCCACCAGCTTTCAAATCATGTATGTATATGCTTTCAATTAGATCCTATATAGCCTATCACTATTAAGATTCACACTGACTGCTCTAGGATAAGTCACATAATACGCTTACATAATACCCTATACTTGCTTGCTTGCTTCACCAACTTCAAACCTGAGATCTTCACGAAGATAATAAGAAAAAATAAATAGAATTTTCTAGGAGTACTATCCATTAACCACAAGACAGTTTAGATCTTCTAAAGCAAGAAGAGGGGTCCCCAAACTGCCCCCTTACAAAGCCCATGTCAAAGTTCCCTTTCTTTCTCCCATGGCTACCAGGGGTTCCTTTGGGAACGCTTAGAAGGGCTTCAGGGAAGGAAGGAAAAGATTAATTTTAGATTGTGAGAAGACAGGAGAAAAGGTCAATTATTTTTGGTTCAATTCAAATGCCTGAATTGTCTTGGGAAGGATAAGTGTGTTTAAAAAAGAAAAAAATATTTACATATGTATAAAGCTGTAAGGAAATATAGCAGGACATACTTCACAACAGGTTTAAGTAGGAGAGCTATGTTAAGAGAAGAAGCTACTTCCATTTCAGTGAAGTATAATTATGCTTTCTTAATTTAAAGGAGAGTGAATTGCTGGGATCAGACTCAATTTGAGAAAGACCTTCCCTTTTATTTGGTGAAGAAAAGTGGTAGTAGAAGGGAAATTTTATATGATAGATATCTAAGCACATGCTGCGTACCACCTATGTATTGACTGCTAGAGAGTAAAGAATGAAATAATCACTGTCTCATTGCCATTTTATGCCAAAAATATGTTTGTTAAATACTAGCCTTGCTTGAGAACTTTGGAGATTTCTCCCCAGCTTTCCCAGTGAGGTATACATGCACTGTAGAGTACACATTCATGAAGCACTCTGTTAGCAGTATATTTCTTTCAGTGCGCTGAGCCCTGGAATGTCTCTTTCTGTTGTTCACATTTGACTTTGGATTTTGCATATCCTGTTCCATTAGAGTGGAATGAGATTTTTTTAGAAACATGATATTAGTATGTGGCTTTCTGCATTTTGATACCATATTATTAGCATTATAAGCTCTGCAGAGAAGGACCTCAGTGTTCAGGTTGGCCATGGAGTGTGCCCACATGGCCCTGAAGGCCAGTGGTATCCCAGGTGCATTAAAAAGTGCATGGCTGGCAGGCCAAGGGAGTTGATTGTTCCCCTCCCCTCTACAAGCGGCCACAACTGGAGTACGGCATCCAGTTCCTGGACTCCTCAGTTCAAGAAAGACAGGGAACTTCTAGAGAGAGTCCAGTGGAGAGCCTCAAAGTTGATGATGAGGGTCCTGGAGCATCTTCCTTGTAAGGAAGGGCTGGGAGACCTGGGGCTGTTTATCGTGGAGGGGGATCTTATCAATGCTTATGAATGCCTGATGGATGGGAGTCAGTGGATGGGGCCAGGCTCTTTTCAGCAGTGACAACTTGGAGTTCTGTTCTGTGTCAGAAGTCTGCATGTTTCTTTTTTAATTGTTGTTGGAACATTCACTGTCATTGATTTATGCTGTGAGGTGACACTATGAAAAGGTCTCAGGATGAATGGATACCCGCATGTGTTTCTTGTGTGTTTTGAACAATGTCTCACCACCCAGAGCACAGCCCAAATACAGCCATTGTGATGACATTGATCATTATGGTTATCTCTTGGAGCGCTTCTGAAATCTGCCTCTTTTTCTTATTTATGGAGAGGAGAGTGTTGATCATTAATGTATTCATCATCTCTCCTCAGAAAAAACAAATTATTTAGGTGCTCTGTGATCCATAAGGACAAAATAGAATAAACTGTATAAACGTGATGGTCTGGTGGCGATGGTTGGCAGAGGGGGAGAAAGCAGCACTGTGTGCGTGGATTGCCAGCTCTGTTTTGAGTAAAACTGAGACTTTGTGGAACAATCTTTTCTATTTTTATTTCTAATTGAAATGGCTGCTAGTGCCGCCGACGGCGCAGCCTCTTGCAGGGCTGGTCTGGATCACAGTCACTGTCGGCTCTTCTCTTGCGGGGATGCCGAGCCCCCCCAGGTGAGCGGCCAGGAGCTGAGGAGCTGCTGCCCTCAGCAGAGGGACCTGCTGCTGTGCCCTGCTCCACCTCCTCATGGGGCTCCTCCGGTTCCCTCAGGATGTGCACAACAGGGCAGCCATGAAGGACAGCCTCTGGTGTGCTGGGCCGGTCCTGTGTGTTGGGACTTGCGGGCCGTGAGGTGAGGGTTGCTCGTGGGGAGGCTACGGGGCTAGGAGCAGCCACAGGGCTGTCCTGCTGCTCCCTAGACATGTCAGCATCCTGGAGGCCCAGCTGCCTGAGGGCCTCCTCACTGCACTGGCACACAATGGTGTTGATGAGTCCCTGGATGAGTGCCTCTGCTCTGTCCTCCACGACAGGCCACACCTCCTGGACCAGGGCTTCACTGTCCAGCCCAGCATTGCACAGAGCATTCAGGATGATGCTCTCTGTTGACAGTGCTGGCCACCACTGTGCCCCAAAGATGACTCTCAGCTCTTGCCGCAGCCAGGGCAGCACAGGGTCCAGGATCTGCTGGTGCCGCCTGAACAGAGCTGCCCAGATCTCAGGCAGGAGACCACCCACTGTAGGCTCATCTTCTGCCTCCTCAGCCTGCAGCTCCTCTACTTCCTCAGCCTGCAGCTCCTCTACTTCCTCAGCCTCGTCTTCATCTTCCTCCTTGGCCTGCTGCTCTTCTGCCTCCTCTGCCCATTGCTCTTGTGCTTCCTCAGCCCCCTCTTCACCTGCCTCCTGAGCATCCTGCTCTTCTGCTTCCTCATTCTCCTGCTCCTCTTGCAACAGCAGAAAGGGCAGTGGAGATGGTAAAGGGGACAGTGAAGGAGACGGCAAAGAGCTGTGGGGGCTGTAGCCAGGAGCAATGCCTGCCTGGAAGCAGGCGGGTACAGGCTGTGCTGGGGGCCAGATCACGAAATCCAGGTCTTCGTCGTCGTCCCACTCAGCAACCCTGACGACAGTCATGACCATCCTGCAGAGTGGGCAGCTGTTGTTCTGCTTGGCCCACCGCAGGATGCAGCCCAGACAAAATTCGTGGCAGCAAGGTACTGCATAGGCCACGTCCTTTCTCTCATCACGGCAGATGGGACACATCCATGCCTGCTCTGCTGCCATGATGATCACGCTGTGGCCTGCTGGGGTCAGAAGATGAGGATCTGCTTCCCCCTCACCAGCACCACAGTGATGAAAGTTGCGCACTGCAGGAGGGAGAGAGGCCACAGTCAGTTGCTGTCCCAAGGAGAGGCAGAAGAAAACATCCAAGTCTCTCATCAGGAGCCCCTCCTGGCCCCAAGCCTGGGCCACCCCATTCCCCACACACACTCCCAGAGGGTGAGACTCTGGCCCTGGCAGCTTCCCACATCCCAGCACTCACCCCATTGCCACCCTGGGGGATGTGTCCCCACTCAGCTCACCTCAGTTGATGCACGTGCGCCTCGCAGGACCCTGGCTGCCTGAGCCAAGCAGGCCAGGGAAATGCAGGTGATGGCTGTACAGATGGGCACTGAGAGCTGCTGCCCACAGTCCCCAAAGCACAACCCAACACTCAAGCCAAACGCTCGTTCCACCTCCAAGCCTCGCACACACGCTCGGCAGGAGTCCAGGCACGAACAAACTGGACAAGGCTCTGCCCACGCCCAAAGGTACTCAGCGAGGGTGGTGTGGTCACAGTCCTTCGCTTGATGATGTCACCACCTGTTGCTCTGTGATGTCCCTGCCTTCCATCTGCCCACACAGTTTTCTCACCAGCAGCCCCTTGCATTCGTGTGTCTTCATTTGTAGTTGGGGTCCCCTCAGTGCCACTTCCACCACTTCCACTCCCTGCCCTCGCCTTTTGTCTTCTCCTGGGTACTGCTGCTTCCCAGCAGACTCCGAGCCCTGGGCTATATATTCCCAGAGGCCCATCACGTGCTGTTATACCTCCCTCTATTATGTCCAATGCGATTTCTGAAGTTTCAGTAAACACCAGTCATTTCCTCCCCCTTGTTGTTGTGTGTGGGTTCTTTTTTTTTTGCATTTTAAACTTACCTTCAAGATCCACAGCTTCTGAGATTTGCTTCTTTTCCTTGTTCTTGTAGAGAAGAGTGTTTGTCATTAATGTATTTAGTACCTCTTCTCAGCAAGCTCATGCCACTCATAGGGCTGTGATCAGTGGCAGAGTGCAGTTGGGGGCCTATAGCTATCAGTGTTCCCCAGGGCTTGGCACTCGGTCCAGTCTTGATGCACATCTTTGTCAGTGATCTGGATGAAGGGGTAGAATGCACCCTCTGCAAGTCTGCTTATGATACGAAGCTGGGGGGAGTTTCTGTCACACCAGAAGACTGTGCTGCCATTCATACAATCTTGGGGAGGAAAAATCGCATGCATCAGTACGGGTTCGGTTCTGACCTTCTCTGCAGAGAAGGAACATGGTGAACTGGAGGGCAACAGGTTGGCCATGAGCCAGCAGCGTGCCCCTGTTGCCAAGAAGCTTCCCTGGAGAAGTTCAAAACTCTCCTGGACACTACCCTGTATGATCTACTGTGGGGAACCTGCTTTAGCAGGAGGTTAGACTACGTGATCCTTAGAAGTCCCCTCCAACCCCTATGATTCTCCAATTCTGTGATGAGTCTCTTGTCCCCAAATACATCTACAGATATGGGCCTTGTTGCTCAGTATGCTGCTTTTGTAAAGCTTATACTTTCATTAAGATTGGGTTTTCTAGACAATTTGACCCTATAAGTCTGTGTCTTAAATAAACTAGGTCATTACAGACCAGGACTGTATCGTATTTGTAAGTGTTCTCCACCTGAGGCAAATTTACTCTGAAAATGACTTCAGATTGGACTCGTGAGTGAGAGATGGAAAACATTCATATTCACCCTGGATGAAAGCTAGAGGCGCAGACAAGATGAGCTGGCTGCCAGGTTCACAAGCAGTGAATTTCAGCCTGTCCTTTCTAACCTACTCTCCTGTCAAGCAGCTAAAACTAACACACAGCCCAGTGTACAGCAAGGAAGCTGCTTTCACTCTCCTCTGAGACATGTGTGTAATTAGTTGATCTTTTCTGTTCAGACAGTTAACAGTCCCCAGAATATTTTGTGTTTAATAGACAAAGAAAACACAGTGGATTTTTGTTATCTAACTCTAGCGTGGCTTCTTGCTACTGTGTGTGGGAAGTTCCTTGAGGAAGAATTGAGGAGGAAAAAGCCTTTCATAATCCTTTAAGATGAATACAGAGTTTCCTGGGCTACAATGTAGGAATAATTAGCAATGAAGCACCAGTGGGGAGAGACGTATCAAATAGGATATCACTGGATCAGTATTTGGTCTGGTATTAATTAGTGAAAACACCAATTAAGGTTTCTATTAAAAAATCTGGAAGATAAAATGAAGTTCAAATTTATAGAGGCCAACTAGCTACAGAATGATTGATCAAGAGATTTTAGAGTAAGAGGCAACTTTTAAATGGAGTAAGATTTTAATTTAGATAAATGTTAAATAATACACGAGAGGGTGACACTCTGTAAAATGGAAAGCTGCTGTTTAAAGATTGGTAATGCAAAGAGCTTAGGAGAGTGGGTAACAAATGGGGCACAAATCCCAATACCATAGAGCTTTAAAAAGACAAATAGCTTTCCTGCCTGTACAGCGAAAAGAGAGGTTGTTTGTAGGACAGTGGCCATGAAATTGGTCTTCTGTGTTTTCAGTGCGGCAGTGCAAGTGCAAGGCTACAAACTCTTGATCACAGTAAAAATAACAGCCAACCAACCAAACAAAAAATATCTACTACAAGTTCCATACCCCTGTGTATGGGAACTGTTGAGTCAGGGCCTGGAGCACTGATTGATCACCTGAGGCAAGCACTGAGTCAGCCATGGAGCACAGGTGGAGGCGATTCAGCTGTGTGATGGAAGGGGTGGAGCCTGGCTGCACCTCTCCTAGACCCCATTTAAGGGCTGACTGCCATGAGGAAGGGTCTCTTTTTGGAGATTCCTCTCTTGGGAGTTTTTTTCTGTGAGCCTAGGCCACGGGTGAGGTTTTTTTTTTTTTTTAATTATCTCTTTCTACTGTGGTAATCCTTCTAGTTATATGACCTGTAAAATACTATCCTAACCATGCCACTCTGCTAATTGTATATTTGTTGATTGTATCTTCTGTTTGGTGGGGAAGGCTGGTGAATGTGCATATAACTTTACCAAGGAAAGAAGCTCTGAGAAACAAGTGTTGCTGTTGAGTTTCTTTTTATAGCTGTGGATATTGTTCTAAGAGTGATTTCATCCAGGTTGAACTACCATGTTGGTTATCATAGCTTGATGCTCTTGGGGAATGAGCTGCCTCTTGGAAGAAAGATGAAAAGCAAATTGCTCTTTGCATGTGTGGAAGAGATCAGAGGTAGAAAAACCTCAAAATGCTTCAGTGTTTAGGAATTACAGACCAGCCATCTGGTCTCACAGTGCCAAGCTAACTATTTGCAACAAAGTACATACTGCATAAAGCTATTTGTGTGTCTGCATGCCTGCACACAAAGATGTTGTATTACACTTAAGCGTTATGAGAACTGAGATACGTCTTGTTGCCATTACACCAATGACAAACCTATGCATATAAAAATCACAGTTTACTGGTGACATTTTAAAGTCTTTTTTCTCCCCCTTTTAAACAAGATCATCTTATATAGAATCAATGCTATCACTAGTATATGCTTAGGACTTAATAGTAATAACCTGTGATTTTGCAAAATTGTAGAACAGCTGAGGTTGGAAAACTCCTGGAAATTGTCTAGTGCAACCCCCTTGCTCAAAGCTGAGTTAGGAGGGCTGCTCAGGGTTGTTTCCAGTCAGGTTTTGTGTATGTCCAAAGTTGAAATACTGGAAGCCAGTGCTCAGAAAGTTTCATCACTGTTTAAAGGAGTCAACAGGTGGTGACATCATCAGAGTTTAAAGGAGGAAAAAAAAAAATAATTGGAAACTTGTGTGTTTTTGCTTTGTGTCCATCACCTTTTAACTATGCACAGCGTGCTGCTGGGAAGTCAGTCTTCTTCACTGTCCTTCCCACTCTCACCTCCAAACCCACCAGGTATTTAAGCATGTCAGTACAGTCCCACTGAGCCTTCTACAGGCTCAATAGTTCCAGTTCTCTCAGCCTTTTTTCCCATTACAGATGTTCCTGTCACTTGATTATCTTTGTGCCTCTTTTCTGGGCTTGGTCCACTATCCCCATCTCTTTCTTGCACTGAAGAGTCCAAAACTGGATGTGGAACTAAAATGTATGTTTTCTGGGTGTGTCTATACATGTATACGTGTGTGTGCGTGCAGCTCTATAGCTGTATATGTACATGCAGATCTATATCTATCTACATACATAGTTTGCACCCAAAAAAAGAATTTGCCTCTTGTATAACAGAATCTGAGTGCTATTTGAGAGCTTTAGCTGTTATTGATATGTTTTTATTACTATCATTAAAGGCTGTTGTAATACAGAGCAGATGTTGTTGAAGTGCTGTGTGCGCTGCTAAATTCACCTTGACTGATATCATATGCTTTTGTTGAACAAACAGGTGAATACTATTCTTCTTGATATTGTACAGTTGCCATGCCAGACCTCAGAAGCTTATTCTCTGTTGTTTGTTGAGTACATAATGGATCACTGTTTTAATCTAAATTCAGTTAATTCCTAGATGTTTCTCTTTTCCTTTTAAGTGTATTGTGGCACAAGGAACCAGTTTTAATAAAAACACAGTGTACAACAGAAAGAAACTGTTCTTTCAGGTATCAGAATGATCACTTGGAGGTTTTTTTGCCATGTTATTTTGAACTGCGGAAATGAGAGTTTTTTCACTAAAACTTTTACACTAAAGCATTCTGACAGCTGATTCAGTATGTTGAAAGCTGTCTTTGCTTTTCTTGGCTTGCTATTGCCTTCCTTGAAGGAAGAGTGGAAAAACATATCACTGCTCTTGTTCATGAAAATTTTTCTAGTTATTGAAGTATTATACTGGCTTTCTTATTTATCTCTTTGTTCCAGTAAGGGATCTAGAGGACTGTTAAAGAAAACATAGAATTCTGATATTGGCCAAGGCAAAGTATCAACCAAGTGTCTTCCTTCACTTCCAAGGCTCCAGACATCTGGGTGCTGCAAATGTCTTCTGTGCAAGTACCTCCATGCAGCATGCGAGAGGTAGGTGTACATGTGGCTGCTGAAGCACAGGTATTAGCAGAGCCCAAAACAAGCCTACTGACAAGCAGTCCATTACTCTGGAAGAGCTTGGCTGTGTATTGCAGTACTTCACAGGTGTCTTCTGCCTTGTATGCTTTTTTTAATTAATGGCATAGAACATAACACTGATCTTTGACAAAAGTTAGACAATGCAGAAACAATATGTCCTAGTACTTGCCTGTTAAAGCAAAGCACAGCTTTATGCTTTCACCTGCTTGGCTCCAGTTTTTGTGGTTTGTGTCCTCAGTTTTACTACCCTTGTCCTTCTGCTCCTGGTGATCCTGGTTTTGCAGAGTGCTTGCAATTAAAATTCTCACACTGATGTGTCACTGAGCTTCATAACATTCCCTTGGCTTCACAGCAACAAGTATACTTGGCACTTTACAGTGCTGACAACTACAGATTTTCTCTGCAGCACTTCAGGTGCTCAGAGCTGCACAAATGACAACAAATTCAATAAAGCAGAGAAGCAGTGGTTCTTATGAGCAAGGACTCATATAAATGTGAGGGCAGGAGAAGGGTTGTGCAGAGTGTTTAAAATTGGTTTGCTTCTCGATGTGAGCAGTTGTGTGACTGGAAGATCACCTTGTAAGCAGGCTTTGTGCCATCCAAACAGATGGACTGAAGTACAAGCAGCCAAACAGTAATTTAGGAGCATGAAATGGATTTGCTGAAGGCAGGTTTCCAAGTGTGAAATGTCAGAACGGTTGCTTGTGTTAAGCCTCCAAACCTAAAGGGAAGGATATGTGCTAGTATTGTGGGATGAGCTAATGCTGAAAACAAACATGAAAATCTGTTTTGGATCCTTTCCTGGACCCATTGAGAGATTTTTTTTCTTAACTATGCTAAACTAGAAGGGATGAGTGGGAGAGGAATCCTGCAAAGCAATAATATTTCCCTACCAGATGGATCACTTTTCTCAAATTATGCTGAGAAAGTGAAGAAATTGTTTCTTTCACCTCCTGTAGATGCTGATGTGCGGAAGGCACAGAACAGAGCTCCGGCTGTTTAGTTTTTGGTGTCTGTGTTCAATAGCTTCAAGACAAGTTCTTTAGCATTACCCAAACTCTAAATAATGCATTGTGGATGGAAATAACCTTAGTAAAGTCTTAAAAGACTTTAAGATAATCTCTGATAGCTGTGGAGTTGCAGCAAGGATGGAATTGCCCAGGTGTAATGAGAACCCAGCTCCTCTCGGGGACTTCTCTGCTTTAAAGATCAACAATGATGGGGGGGGGGGGGAAGAAACATAGAATGGCCTGGGTAGAAAAGTACCTTAAAGATCACCTAGTTTCAACCCCCCTGCTATGTGCAGGGTTGCCAACCAGCAGACCAGGCTGCCCAGAGCCACATCCAGCCTTGCCTTGAATGGGGCATCCACAACATCCTCGGCAACCTGTTCCAGTGCTTCATCACCTTCTGTGTGGAAAAACTTCCTCCTAGTAGCTAACCTAAACCTCCCCTGTCTTAGTTTAAAACCATTTTCCCCCCTTGTCCTATCACTATCAACCCATGTAAATACTCATTCCTCCTCCTTATTCTCTCCCTTCAAGTACTAGAAGGCTACAGTGAGGTCTCCCTAAAGCTTTCTCTTCTCTAAATTAAACAAGCCCAGTTCCCCATGGAAAAGAAATCTTCCATGGCTTTGAAACTCAAGAATTTAGGATGATAACTGGTGGAAATATGCTTTGCTGCTTTTACATCCACTATAAAATCAGGTGAACGTGTTGTCTTGTCTTCTGATCAGAGGTGCAAAGTAGAGAGAGACTCACAGAAAGAAAACTGTAATGAGTTGAAAGGAAATGAGCTTGCAGGTGTGATTTAGGGCAAAGGATCCTATTGCGAGCTGAGCTTTATATAAGCTTACATTGTTATGCCCTGTAACTAGTGCCTCCAGTTTTAGAAGCGGAGAATGAAAGAATGCATTAATCTGGCTGAAATCCACGTAACAGGATTGTGAGCAAAATAAAAGTGAAGTCAGATTGTGCTGTTGGTTAAATACAGCTGAAGTGGTGGGGAGAAGTATGGGAGAAACAGGTTTCCTAACAGTTTTACTGCAGCTGAAGAAGCTTTAAGAGGCATTCAGACTTATTCTTTGTAGCAGGATGAGTAGGAAAAATCAGTACCTAGTTACTGTTGTTCTATTTTGCAGCTGAATAGTCTTGCCAGAAGGAAGACTGTTAGAGCATGTTGTCAGCAAAATGATTTGCATTTGATAGCACTTCCCTCAGTCCTCCCATCTCACACTGTCCTTATAATACTGGTCATTTGTTGTAGGCTCTGTATTTGATATTCTGGTTTCCACCAGTTGCTCTGCAGAAGAGGACTATGCAACATCTGAAAACTGCTGTTCTTTTGAAAGAGGCAGAAAACATGCATCCAGGTCTCAAATTCCTGATGTGGATCCTTCTTTAATTGTGCAGAAACGGATATTGCTTAAACTATGGATAATCTCCTGCATAAATTGTCCTTCTATTTCATAAAGCTTCCTATCCATGTAATTTGGAAACTACTTCTGAGAGTGAAAGTGAAGAGGATTCAAGAAAAGGTAAATTTATTTATTTTAAATGGTAAACCTGTGGGTGACTTACCTGTATCTTAAAATAAATGTCAGTATTTTTGAATAATAGCTAT